TTAAATGATTTATCACGGTTATAAGTGGTTTAAAGGGATTTACAAGTGTTTATGATACAAGACTCGGTGGTGAGCTCGTATCAGGATAGATATGATGGCTATACAAGATGGCGGTCGCTTCTCTCTTGTGTAGGAAAGATGGTCGTTGATGTAGATCTGACACGATGGCGGTCGCTTCTCTCGTGTGGGATCGAATGAAGGGGAAGTGCTGGCGGATTGAAGTACACCACAGAGATGTGATTGGTCTCTGATACAGTACACGATCTTAGCCTTGTGGAATCACACACACAAGACAAAGAACAAGCTTATTCTCTTAAGAACACTTAAGAGAAGAAGTGAAGAAAGTTCGGTTCTTTATTGATAATCAAGGGTGAAAAATCGTACAACTGCTGCAGGGGGACTTTATAAGAGTCCATCAGCTAGCCCTAGGGCCAAAAATAAATGCAAAGAAATACAAAAGGAAACAAATAAAAAGCACACAAAACCCATTGTTTTTGGAAAGAAAATGACAAAATAAAGAAACTAATTGTGCACACTTAAACTCACTTGAAGGGCACGTATTCTAGCCCGTTGTTGGGGCTTAGTGGACCTGCAAATATTGAAAATACTGAATAGAACTTATCTGGATGCGATCTAGGCCCAATCGATGTTCTCTGAACTACGTCTTGATCTACTTCAGGGGTCTTGTCAGGTGCATGTTTGTTTGTTGGTTTCGTGAAGTAGATGGTTTCTTAGAGTTTCTCTTGGGTAGCTTGATCAGTCTCTTGAAGCTCTTCCAAGTCCTTGATGTCTTGTTCTTGATCTTCACTCTCTTGATCACTCTCGAAGGTGAAGCTTGTTTTGCTCGCCTCTTGTGACTCCATTGTCTTCTCTTGGATTCTAGAGGTTTCTTGACCTGTCAAAGGAGAATTCATACATGGGGAAATGGTATGTTCAAGACTCATTTGGGTGAATGCTTCAGCAAGCTCTTCCTCGGCGATGGGATCATATCCGTCATGATGGAGTAACGGTGGTACAGACCAGTTGACGTAGTTCAGCTCTAGTGAGCTCACAATGTCTTATACAGCTAGATTGAACCTCTTTCTAAGTTGTTTAGACTTTGAACGAGTCATGGGACCTACTGGGACGACTGGTACAGGGTGTGGTACAGGATCTGGTACTTGACCTAGTTCAGCGGGTTGGACAGGATAGTCGATGTCCGCATCATTCCCTTTCTCTTCAAAAGGTTTTGCCCTCAAAACTGAATCTCCTGGATCACTTCATTTCTTCCTCGATCAGCTTTGCGTTTGTTGTCGACGGCCTTCTTCTCCAAGTTGCCTTTTGCTTTTTCATGCAACTTCTTTATGATTTCTCCTCGTCTTAACGCAACTTGAAAAGCCTGTTCTATCTGAGGTAAAGGTGCTAAATCTATGGGAGATAAAGGGTTAGTTCCATAGACTATCTCGAAGGGAGATAGTTTTGTAGCCGAGTGAACGGCACGATTATAAGCAAACTCAATAAAAGGAATGCAATCAAGCCATGTAGCCATATTCCTACCAAGAGTGGCTCTAAGTAAAGTTGAGAGAGTTCGGTTTACCACTTCGGTTTGTCCATCCGTTTGAGGATGACAAGTTGTAGAGAATAGAAGCTTGGTACCTAACTTTCTCCAAAGTGTCTTCCAAAAGTGACTTAAGAACTTGGTGTCACGATCAGAGACGATGGTCCTTGGGATACCATGGAGGCGCACCACTTCCTTGAAGAACAAATCCGCGGTTTGAGTAGCGTCATTGGTCTTGTCACATGGGATGAAGTGTGCCATCTTAGAGAACCGGTCCACGATGACAAAGATTGAATCCTTGTGTCTAATCTTAGGCAATCCTAAGACAAAGTCCATAGAAATATCTACCCAAGGGGCGTTAGGAATAGGTAATGGTAAGTATAGACCATGAGGATGTAACCTGGATTTTGCCTTGTGGTAAACAATGCATCGAGAACAAAATCACTCCACGTCCTTCTTGAGATGGGGCCAAAAGAATTGATCCATGACCATTGCCAAGGTTTTGTCAACACCAAAGTGACCCATCAACCCTCCACCATGTGCTTCGGTGCGTATCAACTCTCGCATTGAACCTTGAGGGATGCACAACCGCTTGTCTTTGAATAAGAACCCATCTTGCAAGTAGAATGCTTGATAAGCTCCTTTGCCATGCTCTTTGTAGCACTCTCCTAATTCTGGATCAGAGCCGTCCCTGAAGATTTAAAGGCTGGAAGCAAAAAAAAATATAGGCCTATTGAAAAAGGAAGGAAAAATGTTTTCAAGTGGAAGGTGGAGCTAGACAGATTCGAACTCCTCACCTCTCACACTTATACAGCAGTCATAACCAGTAGACTACAAGAGCATTTACAAAATTTAAGGCCGATTTTATCTATATTATTTAAAGGCCGCAAGCACCAGCTTGCCTTGCTTGGCCTCTTGGACGGCTCTGTTCTGGATCATCCTTGTACAAATCCTTGATGTGCTCAAAACCCATTACTTTAGCCTCCATTGTAGCTATAAGGGCATGTCTCCTTGACAAAGCATCAGCTACCACGTTCTCCTTTCCCTTCTTGTACTTGATCACATATGGGAACGTCTCGATGAACTCCAACCACTTTGCATGTCTCCTCTTAAGTGAAGTCTGACCCTTGAGGTGCTTCAGAGTTTCATGGTCGGTGTGAATGATGAATTCCTTGGACAACAAGTAGTGTTGCCATGTCTCAAGTGCTCGTACTAAGGCATAAAGCTCTTTGTCGTAGGTCGGGTAGTTCAATGCTGCTCCACTTAACTTTTCACTGAAAAACGCGACTGGTCTTTTCCTCTGATGTAGTACAGCTCCAATTCCCAAACCTGATGCATCACACTCCACTTCAAACATAACTTCAAAATCTGGAAGTGCTAAAACTGGTGCTTGTGAAGCCTCTCTTTCAGCGTGTTGAATGACTGTTCTTGGGCTTCTCCCCATGAGAATGGTACGTTTTTCTTGATTACAGCAGTCATTGGTGCAGCCACTGTGCTGAAGTCTCTGACAAACCTCATGTAGAAGCTTGCTAGTCCATGAAAACTGCGAACATGTCCAATGGATGTTGGAGTAGGCCATTCACAGATCGCCTTGATCTTTTCTTCATCTACCTGTAGGCCATTTTTACTCACTACAAAACCTAAGAACACACACTTGTCAGTACAAAATGAGCACTTCTTTAGGTTAGCATAAACGCCTTCCTTCCGAAGTGTTTTCAGAATTAACTCTAAGTGCTTAGTGTGATCAGAATAGCATTTACTATAAATAAGTATGTCATCAAAGTAGACAACAACAAATTTACCAATAAATGACCTTAGAACCTGGTTCATCAATCGCATGAAGGTGCTTGGTGCATTGGTTAGTCCGAATGGCATAACGAGCCATTCGTAGAGACCTTGCTTGGTCTTGAAGGCGGTCTTCCACTCGTCGCCTTCTCTCATTCGAACTTGGTGATAGCCGCTTCGCAAGTCAATCTTGGAGAAGATGATTGCACCACTTAGTTCGTCCAACATGTCGTCTAGCCTCGGAATAGGATGTCGGTACTTGATGGTGATATTGTTGATTGCTCTACAGTCCACACACATCCTCCACGTACCATCCTTCTTTGGTACCAAAAGAACTGGTACAGCACACGGGCTTAGGATCTCTCTGATGTACCCTTTGTTCATCAAGTCACGCACTTGCTTTT